ATTACAAGAGTCCTTGAAAAATCAAGGGACTGTGTATACAAAAAGTATACAAAAATTTACAACAGAGGGAATGAATAAAAAATAGGGAACTGATCAGGGTGTTGTTGGTTTCACCAGTCATGGGTCACACCCACTTCACCCCACCCCTAATAATCGCACCCTAACTCAGATTTTTAATTTTCAAGTAAACATGAATATTCAATCTCAAAATGGTCTGAAATTTCAATTAATCGAAAATTGAGGATGTATTCACCTGAATTTCGCTAATAATCATTAACTTTCACTGAAGTCAAATAAAAAAAATCGTAATTAGATCAACGTTTTATTGATTTGGACATGAAAATGGTATGTTTCAAAGACGAGACATCCTGAAATTTCCGTTATTATTTCTCATCTAAATTCTAACCAATATAAATGTAATACTCAACTTTTTCCGATGGAGAGGGGGTAGAATTATGTGGATGATTTTTCGGTTATTTCTATTCATGGAAACCTTGAATGAAAATTTTCTGTAGAAAGAAATAAAGTTCTGGTTCTGGACATATATTATTAACCCGTAAAAGCCGTAAAAAACATCGAATTCATTTCTTTCGGTCGAATTGGCGATAGGGGAAATAATCTAACCGATTTCCCCTCCTGTTCAAAGTTGAAGAGAAATTCTCCTAGTTTTCCTGTATATCAAAGAGCTTTGCAATAAAATCGCTCCCGCTGCACGCTCGGGAATCGAACGGAGTTGCGAGGTGACATCACGTTTTAAAATCCGTCAAGTCAGAAAAAATGGCTGTCAATTTTGGTTATACCTTCTCCTGCTATTTTGAACCAATTAACTAGATGCAAACTGACAGTTATGAATATTTCGATCGCATTTTCAACTACACTGTTAGAAAAAAAATGAAATTTCATGGACAGTTGACTACTAATTTTCAGGGCAGTGACACTGAATGCGATTTAAGGGACAAAAATTCATAAAATTTTAGATTTCACTGAAAATTCAGTAAAATTCCAAAATTTTAAACAACATAAAGACGAGAATTCCTTAATTTAATTGAATTTTCAATCTAATGTGAATATTCAGTGCCAAATTAATTGAATTTTCAGTGAAATCTGAAATTTCATGACTTTTTTCACCCTTCAGTGTCACTGTCCTGAATTTTCAATGACGAAATTTCTTGAAATTTCAGTGGTAATTAAATTCGATAAAATTTTTCGAAAAGTGTACCGGGAACTTCAGACATAAATTTTTAACAGTGTAGATACTGTTAGAAAAAAATGAAATTTCGTAGCCAGTAATGTTTAGGAGAGGGCCATCGAATGCCATGTAAGGGAGAAAGAAGTTGTTATATCTCAGCCACTGCGCGCCAAAGTAAAACTCAATCATAGCTATCATACAGCAAAATTTCAGATTTTTATCGATGGATTCCACCGTATTTATGCCATATTTTCTCAAACGAAATTAGCCAAAATCGAAATTGTCACACACATACGTACGGACATGTTATAAAAAACATCCTTCCTTTAGGTTTCATAACATTCTACATCGTTTCCTAGTTAAATTAGAAAATGTCACATCCTACCAATACAAAGCTTCTATTTGGAAGCATAAATCATGAAATTTCAAATTTATGATCACCATTGAGATGAGAATTCCTCAACCTATTTGAATTTTCAATGAAATCATGGATATACAGTGCCGAATGACGATGAACTTTCAGTTAATTGAAAACTGAAGGATATATTTACTGGAATTTTCCTGACTTTTATAAGTTTTTGGTGAATAATTGAACTGAAATTTGGAATTCCTATTGATTTTTCTATGAAATTCTGAATGTTTAATGAGGAAATTTGGTGAAATTTTAAAGAAACTAAAATGTGATTAAACTTTCCGAAAAAGGTACCGGAAATTTCAGCCAGAAATTTTTAACAGTGTACTCATTTCGTTATGAATACATTGATCGTATGTCTTTGACAATGCATTGAACGCCTTATCATCATGGAACCATGGGGACATCTTCGAATCTCAAATTATATTACTATTAGTTAAATGTAATGTGATGGTCAAATAGTAAATTGGTCACAATTTTATCATATTCAGGATGTGGATTATCACTTTAAAAATTTGCGTCTCATTTGCCGTGCTCGGAAATTTTTCTCGTGTTTAATTTTCACTGAAATGTCGGGAAATCTTGTCATTGAAAATTCAAATATTCCATTGATTTTCTGTTCGAATGATCTGACATTCAATAAAATATTTCATTTTTCAGTACAATTATTCCGTGAAAATTCAGGAAAATTAGAAAAATTCTGGGAAAAATTGAAAAATTATGTCATTTTATTCCTGAATATTCATGTTCCATTAAAAATTCAATCAAGTTGTGAAATTTTCAGCTCACTCCCACCGAAAACATCATGAATTTCCTTGAATTTTACCTGAAACTTGAAATTTCATGACAATTCGTCCCCTAAATCAGATTTAATATCACTCTCACGAGAATTACAATTATTTGAATTTTTACGGCCATAAAAATTCAAATTTCACAAATCTGAATCTGAAAATCTGTAGAATATTCGATTTGAAAATTGTGTTAAATTTTCAGATGAATATTATGTAGAAATTTGTGATGAAAAATTGGTATGGAATTTTGGCCCGGTCGGGGCTCGAACCTGGGAGCTTGAGGTTGTGAATATCATGCTGCTACTAAGTGCGCCACACAGCCGGGTTATTACTGTCATATTTTCCATGAAATTTCGAAAAATTTCTGACAGTGATGGGATAGTTGGAAAATCCGTAAACCATCTAAATCATTGTCTAATCGCGGCGTTTCGCTTCTAATTAAAGCTTCCTCAGGCTCTGGAGACCAATCAAATTCAACCACTAAGCAAAATAATAATACTAATTCCATAAGTTCACACCAGCGAAACAAATAAATTGTTAAAATAATTATTTAAAATTAGTTGGAAATATTATTTTAACAATTCAGTTAAGTTTCTGAGTTTTTAAAGAATATTTCCGAATCTAAAGGAGATAGCAAAATTTTCGTAATTACATTTATTGTAGCACTCAATCAGCTCTACAAAAAAGGTTATAACAATAATTTTGCTATCTCCCTTAGATTCCGAGATATTCATTGAAAACTGGTCAGTAGTCAAAATAAACTGGTACCGTTTTACCACTTCGCTACTGAATTTATTTGTTTCGCTCGTGTGAATTTCTGGAATTAGTATTATTATTTTACTTATTGATTGTATTTGATTGGTTTCTTGAACCGGAGGCATTTGAATTATGAGCGAAATGTCGCGATCCGACAATGATTTCGTATGGTTTACTGATTTTTCAACTACGCTATTAAAAATTTTTGTCTGAAGTTTCCGGTAGAGTTTTTGGAAATTTTTGTTGAAGTTAATTACCACTGAAATTTCAGGGAATTTCGTCATTGAAAATTTAGGATTTCGTGGAAAAATCAAAGAGAACTGTAAATTTCAGTTCCATGTTTCCCTGAAAATGAATAGAAAACCAGAAAATGGTTTTCTATTCATTTCCGGTATATATATTCTCGAATTTTCAGGACAGTTCCACTCAAAGCGATTTAGGGTGAAAAAAATCATGAAATTTCAGATTTTACTGCACATTCAGTGTATAATTTGGTACTGAATATTTATATTAGATAGGAAATTCAAATAAATTAAGGAATTCTCGTCTTTATGCTCCTTAAAATTCTGCTATTTTATTGAATTTTCAGTGAAACCTAAAATTTCATGATTTTTTTTTCCCTAAATTGCATTCAGTGTCACTGTCCTGAAAATTAGTAGTCAACTGTCCCTGAAATTTCATTTTTTTCTAACAGTATACCCCATGATCCCTATCCTGAATTAGTTTTATAACATGGAAATGAACAATAACATAAATATTTTGTCATATGTCTCATGACGTTTCTTGACGCATCAGTGACATATCATGTCATTTTTTCGCACTCTGAAATGGAAAACTTTTCAACAATTTTGGAGTACCGGGGTACTACCGCTGAAAATGTCACTCTTAAAAATTTCCAGTACGTATCTCAAAAATGTTCAACCGTGAATGCACGAAACCACTAAGCACCCCGAAGATGCGTAGTCACGGTACAGTAGCATGTGAAGGAGCCCAGTGTAAAGAGTGTGGAAGGTACAAGGGGGAGAAAATATGACAAGCGTGCTGGCAGGATAAAAGGCTCCCTCGTAGGTAAGAAGAAGCAAGAAGAAGTAAGCAGCGAAAAGGTTGGATATTTCTCCGGGGGTACTGTAGCTCGGTTGCATGCCCCTGCTCCTACATCCTGACGCAGTTGCTGATGATGCGCGCGCCGAAACACTAGTAGGATATCCTCATCACTCACTCCCAACAACTCGAGGAGCGATAACTCCGTTCAGTGAGGAAGACGCGGGAAATGGGTGAGGGTGGCAGGGCAAATTGGATTAAAAGTCAAAGATGACCGATTAAACAGCTCGTAAGTACAACCCCTGCAAAACAATCGGGGGCGAATAAATGCCGGAATAAAAATTGATCTAAATAAAAATGGTGGCAAACAAGTATCTTCATCGGAAGGATCCACGAAAAAAAAGCATCGAAACTTGCGCATTATTCGTGTCTCTGGCGTTGCAAGAGTGAAAAGGAGCAAAAAAATTGGTAAAAAGAGATCGACAGAGGCGCACATACACACACATAACACCAGTGTTAGAGCAACCGTGTTACAGAGGTCGACGGGGAGGGGGGGAGCATTAAGCGTGAAGTAGTTGGCCGCGGGAGTATAGAGGAGTAGTAGAAGCATAGAGGAGAGAGAGGCGCGCAAACGTAAAAAGAGGGGAAAATATACACGTAGTGGTTAAAAATCATTGTAGTGGGGAATGAGGAGAGGGATTTTGACGGTAAAGCAAGGAGAGACGACGAGTGAGTGGGGGTAACTGAGCGGGGAACCGGAGCTGCTGAACGCCCGAAAGCGCATACCATCCCATAATTCGGTGCGCCGCCCCGCAATCAGGTTCGTGTTTCCATTACTCTTGTCTCTTCGCCTCGTTACAGGATCTCTCACTTTATTCTTTCACAACTCGAGAGGTTTTGAATAGAATGAAAGATAGTAGAATGGAGTTATGAGAGAACAAGAGAGCGTAGAACAGTGAAAATTAATACGGTGATGCTGATGTAAGGAATTTATTCATTACGGTTTTCATGTTTTGGTTTTTTCTGTACTTTTTGTTGCCATTAAATAATTGTGATTCAACGACATTCATGGACTGAACAGTGATTTATGCTTGTGTTTTTTTTTATTTTGGTGAATTATTGGTTTTATTTATGAATCAAGGGGAGGGGGGGAGTGACAGGGGAGTTTATTGTCAATGTTTGTTGATTATTGGTTTATGATTGATTCAATTCGCGATGTTGGCGTAATCGAGTTGCAATTGTTCAAGGATTCTCTACGTAGTCCTTCGGTGAGAGAATCGCTCTCACGATTCTCCAAGTGCATTCATTTATTTCCTCCGCCTTAGAATTCAAGTGCCTCGAGTTTATGTGTGTGTGCGAGTGTTGCTGGGCCACTTTATTCGGCGCAAGCGGGGTATTATTATATTGGTAAAGCGAAAATTTTTCGACCGGGGGGAAGATGCTCGAAGCCATGGAATAGAACGAGTGCGTCTCCGTGCATGTGTCCTCTTGTGTGTGTGTGTGTGTGTGTCTGAAACCCGAAGAAAGCGAGACAGAGTAATGAGAAGAATATGAGCAAAGTGCAGTTTCATCGGTTCAATTGTTATTAAAAATTCTACTTCAGGGTAGAGAGTAATCAACAAAAATCGCGTGTCTCGTTTTATTCCGCTCTCTCATTTACTCATTCAACATTACTTTTCAATTTATTTATTTTTAATTTAAAATCGTGCAGTGTGTCTATCACTTGGATATTAACGAGTTATTACGGCGATGCTAATTAAGTTTAATCGCAAGGCCGCCCGTTCGTTAAAGTTAATTGCACCATCGACCGGAGGGAGCAACGGGTACGTTAATTGCGACGTCCTTGCTCACCAGTAGAAAAAGGAACCATCGACTATCAGCTCATTGTAGTTTTTTTTTTATTCACTCAACGCTTGATTCATTGAAATCTGTGCGGTCGATAGCACAAATTATTTGACTGATTTCGTCTAATAGAATTCTCTCTTCTGCTCGCCTCAATAGTAAATTCTAAACTCAGTGGAGTAATAATTCTCGAAATCCATAAAATAAATGGAAGATAATGTCCAGCCGTTTATTCATCAGCCGAAAAATTTGTCATCAATCCGAGGAATTTTTTTTTATGGAGACAGCGAGCAAAAGGAGAAATGTATCGGAGCCAACGCAATTACAAACTCGATACAGCTGCACAGACAGTGACGCGTGTGTCGGGGAGAATTCACGCGCTTCTTTATATTTTCTCATTCCTCTTCGCGTTTTTTTTTCTCGTTGCTCCTCTCCGCATTCTTTTTTCCCTCTTCTCTCGTTTTTTTTTGTGGACTCTCGGCCTTGAACACGAACTTGTTCATTCAAGATTCGACCTACTCGCCTCGTAATTCGCCGGCGTCGGGATACATTGTATTTATTTATTTACGCGGCACATCTCTATTATTCCGGTGTTATATCCCGCGAGAAGCTAAATTAATCGTCTAGTCATATTTCAGCTGCTCATTGCCAGTCTTGGTGTTTTTTCATTCAGTATAAATGACGTGATTTTAGTCGTAATAATTTCATCCACACACACACACACACACACACACACACACACTCTACATATGTGCCTCGATCACGTGGAATACAAAAACATTGATTACTCCATTATCCAAAAGTATAATGGAATGATAACTACACTTTATTCGTACATGAAGACAATTCGTCGAGCAATGAAAATAGAAATGATGATTAGATTTAGTCCATAGTGGCTTACTACGCCTATTCGTCATATCGCGTGTGCGACGTGTGTGATCAATAAATCCGGCGCGAGGAAGGCAAACAACGGCGCTGATGCTCCTACCGACTCACGTGCGCACGTGCTAGACGCACTCTCACCGATGCTTCAATGTTTTTCATTCGGTTCTATCTTTATCTAGCACTCGTGAGGATAACTCGAGTCATGAGGATCGTTGCACTCGTGAGAAACTCCTCATCTCAACGGCAACAACAAATATGAAAATAAATTCAGTCACTGATAATGAGGAATTCAATTAAATTTTTAGATTCGATACATTTGAAAAGAACTTGAATTTAATCGTTCGATACTCGGATCGATCGACTCGTTGATAAGGATAAAAACCAGTTAATATCGCCCACTCGTCCCCTCTCCATCGCCCTTAGTTACTCATGGGCTAATCACTCCTCAGAATAAAGTGGAAGTGTTTTATTTTCAGTTCAGTCAATTCAACTCGGATGTACTAGCCGTTTTGTTATATCTGAGATATAAAATTCTAGGCTTCCCGTCTGTATTTTGATAAATTCGATATCGGCTTCCTGGGGGGGGGAGGCATGTGGTGGTGTAGAATTTTTTCACTATGAAAGCAATAATTCGTCATGACCTGCATGTAGTATATTACTGTTATTGAATGGTCGTTCAATCGGATTCTTTTAATTTACGGCGATGAAAAAAATTTCGAGATTTAGGGAATTTTACCCAGAGAAATTATGCTTTTGAATAAAATCAAACTTTTTATCTTAATTTTTGCTTTAGAATGGAGGCATTGAAATCGTTCTATTTCTAGATTTTCTAATTTTGCTTGGAGATGATGCACTGACAGACGGAGTTAATCGCTATTAACTAGACTTCTTAACTATTAACGAATCGTGGTAATAGTTAAGCCTCGTTCATAGCAACGAAATCGTTACACCTTTTTTATCAGTGTGCAGAATGGTCTGACACATAAACCACCAATGCCCGAACGTGGCTCAAAATAATAATAATCAAATGACAGTCGAATCGAAATTCGTATATGCATATGTGGGTGTCCACCTGGTGGTCGATTTCTGAAAAATCCAAGAATTGAAGGACCAAAATAATTTCAAAAAATCTCTAATTTTGTCAGGTTCTAGGTATTAATGAGGACTAACTCGGTGCTCAATTCCAGCCCAATCGACCCAGCCGTTTTGGAGAAATCGCCATTTGTTTCTAAATCGGTTTTCACAAATATCTCAAAAACTATTCAATCGGTTTCATCAATTTCTTTTCGAAATATTCATGTTGATGTCTTCAATCTCAATCAATGAAAATACGCGCTCCCGTTCGTACAGTCACACAACTTTTGAAACAATTTTAACATTCAGTTTCTACTTAGCACTACAATACTTTGTATTGAAGATGGGCTGAATCGGATTACTTTACGAGATATTCAACTTTATACCTAAATCTATTTCCTTGAACATCTTCACAACAAAAACGAATGTCTGAATTTCACACATCTTTTGTAGACATTTTTTAGACACTAAAAAATGTCTGAATAAAATGACGATGTGTTTGAATTAAAATGTTTGGGCACATGTTCGGCTGAAATTCCGATATTCGTTTTTGCTGTGTTAAAAACCACTCAACCGATTTCAATTTTTTTTATCTCAATCAATAAAAAAAATATATACCCGTTTGGACAAAGTCTTCGAGATATTTCTATTTTTCTATTTTGTCGAGATATGAATTTGAAATGTGGCATGAAGTTTCTTCCTATCCTTGCAACGGTTCGTATCGTAAATACTCTGAATTGGATGGTTAGTCCCGGAGATATTCAACTTTATATGTAAATCTATCTCATTGAATATCTTGACAACCGCTCAACCGATTTTATTTAACTCATAAGAATTCCTTAAACAACCAATGTGGAATCATTTAAAAGTCTGCCACCAGTTTATTGATGACAGAAAAGAATAAACACACTCCTAAGTAGAAAATCGGAAGTCAAATGGTCACTATCATATGCTCGCTCTCACCTGATTGTTTTTTTAGTCATTTCGATGAAAATGCTCTGATGATATGAAATTACTGATTCTCATTAATTTCAAATGAATTCTCCATTAGAATCAAATTAACGATTTATTTGTTCAGATCAAGGATTATTACATGTTAGTAAATTCCGTATCTTCATTTTCTAAACGTTTATATTATTTCTGTATTTGGATTCGGAAATCATTTGATCAATTCCAAAACTTTCTTTGAGTGCACATAAGCTTAGATCAAAATGAATTGGAAGTTTCAATAAATTCTTCATTACAAGCCATTTGGAATTATTTAATTCCAATAAACTAATAATTCCGCTGGGAATGCAAATTAAAGAAAATGTCCTCTTTCGCTGCAATAGCTTCAGAAATACAAATGAAAAATATTTTATTTGGTACAAGTAATTATTGCAATACCTTGAAAAATATTGGGGCAAAACGGATGTCTTGTTTTCAACTTGTAGTAGAATTTTTCCTTAATATGATCTTAAACAGAGGAATTTATTAATTTAGGACATTTTTTGTGTGTGACCGTGCGATATTTTTCGGGCGCACACCTAATCGAGGTACATTGTAGGAGTGTGGTGTACGGAAATGACGCATAGCATGTGCGTCTTACCAGAACGTCGTGAGCCTCGTTATTTGATCGATAAAAAGGCCTCGGGGGAGCCCTCAATTTACCTCGTATATAAAACGAGGCATTAAACCGCTGGCGAGCAACCAACGTGCGCGTGCAACTAACGAAAATCATTCTAAATAACGAAGATAGAGAAATGGTAAACATTATTTGAATTGAGGTTCGAACGTGAGGAATCTATGGATAATTGCGTACTCGGTTATTGCTTCGGAATATTCATGGGGAGGGGTAAGGGGGGGATAACGCGATCTCGACATATCCGTAAACAATGATAACAAAAACAACATGGATGTCACTGTCTGGGTTACGCATCAACTGCGTGGTACTGTTGGTTCCAAAAATAATTAATGATTATTATCGATGAAATTTGTTCACGATAGGAGAAAGTACCTTTGAGCGCAACGAGTCGAGGATAATCCTCTTATCAGTGAGCAAACCGGTGAATTGTGGAAGAGTGCTGATCGATAATGGTGATTTGTTGGGTTTCCTTATGATTTTTTTATGACTGGGGGATTGGAACATTGGAGACATAGGCTAACACTGACAGAACATTTTTGTGACAAACCAACTTATTATATAATATAAAAAGAGTTTCTTTATTTTACTACACTTATGGTGTTTTGCATTAAGGGATTTCATGTAGGACGTTCATCGTAGTTGTCAAGTAATATATGAATGTTTTCGAATTTTTCGACGTTTCGTTTACAAGTTAGGAAGAACCTGGTTAATTTCTTAGACGTGGATTCTCACGCTGAGAAAAGCAAAGTTTTTTGAGAAGTAGGTCTTCGCAGAGAAACCTATCGTAAATTGTGGTTTGCTAAACGTAATTTACGCTTCACGCTACTATGATGTCTGGTAGATTTTTTCCATCATGAAAATTGGAATTTAGGATTCAAAAAGGCGTACCTATGGTCAAAATAAAAACGTAAATTGCGCTCAAACAAAGCGTCTTACGTTTCACTACGCGTATTTCACGCTTAAGGAATCGTAAATTACGAATTTAAAAGAAACGTATTTTACGATTTACTTATGCGTAATTTATGAAAAAAAAACATCGTATTTTACGCGTAAAATAATTTTTTTTTCTTCGTCGTTAATTGCGGATAAGTAAACGTAAAATACTCCAAGAATCAACTAATTTGCGAATACGAAACCCTAAATTACGTTTATGAAACCGTCATTTGCGAATACGAAATCGTAAATTACGTTTATGTAATCATAATTAATGGCAATTTTTAACATAATTTACGCTTAAACTTCAAGCGTAAAATAACCTTCAGAAAGCGTAAAAAACGACTTCGTAAAAGTAATTTACGTTTAGGTTTTTCTATGTGTTCACTTGTATGAAGAAACTCATGGCTTGAATATTGACAAGAAAAGAATGTATTGCACTGAAAAAAATACTTTCGTGAAGAGATTTTATGGGTCCCAAAGACGCGGATAATTTGTTTACGACAAGAAAGTGATTTCTGAAACCAAGTCTAATTGAAACAATTTATTCAATAGGTTTTTAGGCTCAAATCCAGAATATTGTAATGCAAAAATCACTTGACTTGGTTCCAGAAGTCGCTTTTCTCTTTAGTGTTAGAAATTTTTTGAAATTTCATGGAAGATATTATAGTAAATCTCATGAGAGTGACATTGAATCGATTTTGGAAATTCACGGAAATTCATGAGTTTTCAGTGGATGTGAGTGGAAATTTCACAATTTGATTGAATTTTCCATAGAACATGAATATTCAAAAACAAAATGACACGAATTTTCAATTTTTCCTGGATTTTTCTCATTTTTCTGAATTTTCACAGAATAATTGAACTCAAAAATCAAGTATTTTATTGATTTCCAGATCATTTAAACAGAAAATCAATGAAATATTTGATTTTTCAATGACAAGATTTCCTGAAATTTCTGTGGACCTTAAACACGATAAAAATTTCTGGAATTTGACATTCAGACGAATATTTTTAATAGTGTTGTTGTGAATCAATTGCTCATCTTTGGAAAAAGTACAAAATCTCTTGACGATTTTTTTATCAGTGTAAGATATTTTATTCTTGTCAATTTTCGAACCATGAGTCTCTTGATACAAGTAAAGTCGTACTTCTCAAAAAACTTTTTTTTCTCAGCATAGTGATTTTTCAAATTATCATGAAACTATATTATCATCTGAGATGATACCGTAGTTTCGTGCTAAACATAAAAATCTCGACAAGAGCCCATGCAGAAGAAGCGACTTCAATTGTTAATAACTTGGTAATAAAATCTGCAAAAATTGTAGGAAAATTCATACCTAATCCATCTGTTACTACAAATATTTTATGTGAATTGCAGATTAATGTCCTCATTTGCCGCTTTCAAAGAAAATACCTCAAGTTTTTGTCTACATAAATTGTAATCCCCATTCTACTGAACATCGCATTCTACTGAAATTTAATGCACCGTCACCATAATGCCTCTTGCAATTTCAATTCCACCTTGTACAATTCAAACTTCCAAATGTTAAAATACGAAATCCATGAAACTCAAGCCATGATTCATGGATTTCGTTCTTCTTGAAATGTACATGCTCAAATTATGCCTGTGCAATTGCAGACAATAAATTGAACATTTACTAGTTTGAATTATACAATGTGGAATTCAGATTGCAAAATATGTAATTGGGTGGGTACGTTTCAATTTTGTAGAATTCAATAGAATTCAACGTAATTCGTGTAATTACAATGTGAAGATTCCAATTTCTACACACAGTTTAACGCCAAATATAAAAAATGTAAAGAATGAAGGGACTCCATAGGTCATTTTATCGAGGAAATGTGGGGTGCAGTGATAGAGAACGTCCATTGGGATCCCATTTGTATTCTGTGGAAAATTTCTGGTGGATAATTTTGGATAAGTGACATTTTCACGAGTGTTGGGTAAACTCGTACACTTTTGAGAACAAAATTGAAATTTGATGAATAGTAATTTGCAAAAGTGTGACATTGAATTTAATTTCGCGGAGAAAGGATTATAACATTTCAAGTTTCAGGTACATTCCAAGTGAATCAACAGTTTCAACTAGAGATAAAACAGAAATTTCCGAACTTGCTGGAATTTCCAGGTAAACATGAATGTTTAGTAGCAAAGTGTACTGAACTATTAATTCATTCAAAATTTATGGATATATTCATCTGAATTTTCCCAATTTTACCTGATTTTCGCTTAAAACTTCACCTGAAATTTCTAGTTTTCATTATTTTAGGAGAAAATGAAGGGAATGTGTGATTTGTCAATGATGAAATTCTCTAGAAGTCCGATGACAGCGTAGTTTGTTTAAAATTTCCGTTACCTGCCTCGGAAAATTCAAACAAAACTTTTCAACCGTGTAATTAGAAAATTATAATTCGATCAGATACACAACAGAATAGAAAAAATAATTTATAATTCAATTATTCAGTGAAAATGAGAAAATGTTCCATCTTATTTATATTTTAAATTTACGAATTCACTTTAATTTTCAACTGGAACGGGAAACTTTTTAAATCCATCCTCTCCCTAAATCAAATTCAATGTCTGTTCTACAAAATTACTGTTAGATTGTCAATAAAATTCCAATTTTCTAACAGAATGGGGGCGAAATGACACTTCAGGCTTTGCATGTCAATAACTCTGAATTTCGTGAGAACTTATAACATTTTTTCTTCAATCGTTTAATTCATGTTTTAGGTCTAAAATATTCCGAAGAAAATCACAAGTCTATATTTCGCGGAACAACATTCCTCTTCATTCAATAACAAATTTTTCTGTTTATTTCGGTTAAGAATACCATTAATGCATTAAAAATCCCATTTGATGCCGTTGACGACAAGATATTATTATTTAATTCTTTATCAAACGATGATTTTTCTTCTCCTTCCTTATTTGAAAAGAAAAAAATTCTCGTACAAAATCCCTTTGGTACCACAAGAAAAAAAGTACGAATAATGCGAAATAATAACGAATGCCTCACTATACTCAGAATAATGTTTTTAAAAAAATCAAATAAAACTCTTTATTTGAAATTTTTTACCTATTTCAAGAATATTTTTATTACAAATGAATAAACTAGTTTACTTGTTTCAAGAAAAAGGATGTACTTATATTAAACAAATATTTGATTTATTCCAAATAAAATTTTTATTAAATTTTAAAAAACAATTTATTTACTTCAAATAAATGACTTTTTTTAATCAAATAAATAAATTAATTAGTTGAAATGAACAGTTTTCTTATTTAAAAAAAATCACATTTTCATGCATTTTGTGGAAGAATTTCGAGTGTGTTTCAACAATATTCGTGGGCTATGTGGAAAAAGATCGTATGATTCTAATCCAGGAAACGTGAAATCTGGACAATTTGAGCTCTCTAGAATCATTCTGATCCAATTTTTCATTACACTTTTCCTCCAGTATATACGACCTTCTTTCACCATCGTCTCCCTGATAGTGAAACCATGGAACAGAAATTTCTTCCCCCCTGCCCTAAATGTCTTACGCGACGTGTGCATAGCTCCTAATAATTATTGCATGTTTTTCGTTTTTGCATTATTGCATCTTTTGTGATTTTATTACCAACTCAAAGCAATAATACATTTTTAGTATCAAATAAATATTTATTTAGTTCGAAGAAAAAATTTATTTGAATCAAATGAAGATTTATTAATAGTAAAAAAAACATTTATTTAATATAAACAAAACATTGAATAAATTTTTTTATTTAATTTGAAAAAAACATTCATTTGGTACTCTTCAAATAAATTTTATTTGAATTAAATAAATCATTTTTTTCAAACACTACTGGGGCAAAAGTGATCGATTTTTTTGTTTCGTAAATTTCACAATTTTCAGACAATTTTTCAACTGATTTTTTATTTCTCTATGAAGATGAAGTGAGAATGAGTACAGAGGAAATTGTGAAGAATTGGATGATGCCCTAGGCGTGGTATTTTTCTCGGGTATATGTAGGAGATAGGATAGAAGCAAAGTGCGCGTCAGGGCGTCGGCGGTTGTTCCCTTTCGCAAAGGGAGGAGGCAGACGGGGCCAGGCAGGAAATAAGGGACGTTGGGTAAAACTACTCGGTTAATGCGAGGGAGTGAGAGAGTAAGAGGGGGGGAGGTAAGAAGGACCATTCGTCTCGAGTAAAACGCAATATGTGCCACACACCATCGGTCCTCTTGCCTCGGGAGAAGAAAAAAAAAAGAAGTTTTATATACGGTAATGGTGTAAATTCCGAGGATTCTGGGGCTACTCGAACGAGAGTGGACCCGACGAAACTCGACGCCCGATGGGTCTACAATTTACTTTCTCTATTTTCGAAAATTCGATACTTTATATTTATTACCTTCATGTGGATGAGTATTTATTTAGGTGGAGAATGTCGGTAATTTACGGTTAATCAATGGTTTTTTTTTCGGTTTTTGATTGTTATAGAGGAAAGAAACTGGCGGCGGCTGACGGGAGAGTTGAGGAAGAACAGATGAGAGAGGGAACGGAAACCACGTGGGATAACTGAAAATTGTAGTTGAGTCTTAGGTGTCCTTGAGTGCATGTGGTAGGCATGACGGATGGAGTGTACAGTACTTCTCGGGCTCAAGCGATTCGTCTTTCAGGTAAGAACGAAAATTCGGAGAAAAACAGAATATTCTCCAATTTTTCGAGATGTTGATCCAAACGGGACGTTAGAGGAATCCTGTCCGAAAGTGAGTTGAAAGTTGAATTCTTTTAGGGCAAAATAGATGAGCAGTGGGTAAAAGATTATTGGGACAAAACAGGCCGTTTGTTCCTCAATCTAGAATTACATTTTTCTGTCTTTCAGTGATAAAGTTTTGAAATTTTTGAAATTTTTGAAGAAAATCTATAGGAAAGAAAACATTTGTCGAATGGAGAATAGAGTTTATTTTTTTTGCTTGCGGTTGAACATTTGATGAAATTTCTGTGAGCATTGCCATCGGGAAAGGAAGGAAATGTCACCCAAAATTTGAAAAAAGATGGCTTATTTCACATCACTAGTTTTCCAAACGCAAATGGAACACACTTTATGTGACTAAATCAATTTTTAGAATAGCTTGAAAACTACTGGGGATTAAGAAGTGTTTTTTTTTCTTAAATTTAGGATATAATTTTCTTGTCTATTCAATGATAATACTTGAAAATTTCAATTTTGTCAAGCATTTAAACAGAAAATCCCCAGAGAAAAAAATCTCAAATCAGAGAAATTTTTCAATTTTTTGCTCTCGGCTGTCATCGGAAAAGGAAGGAAATGGCATCCGAAAGGTGAAGAGAGACGACTCATTCAACATCACTGGTTTTCGAGACACAGATGGAACACTCTTTATAAGACGAAATTAATTTTTGGAATAGTTTGAGAACTACTGGGGCAAAACAAGACGTTTTATTCTGAAATTTATGACAACATTATCTTGTCTTTTCAGTGATAAAACTTGAAAATTTCAATCTTGTCAAGTTTCCGAAGGAGAAAATCGACAGGGAAAAGAAAAATTCTTAAATGAGAAACATGGTTCAATTTTTTGCTCTCAGTTAAACCTTTGACGAGATGGAGGGCTGTGAGTAATGTTATTGGAAGAGAAAGGATATGTCATCCAAAATTTAAAGAAAGACAGCTCATTCAAGATCAGCAGTTTTCGAGATACAGATGGAAAACTTCATCTGATGAAATCAATTTTTGGAATAGTTTCAGAGTTATTACGGAAAAACAAATAGACTTTTTTGACACTGCTGCTACGTTTACCTCGTGCCGAAAACTGCCCTTTAGTTTAAAACTGCATTCCAGAGATAAAACCTCGAAATTTCAAAATTGTTGTATTCTCTAGTGAAACATATTTTTCTTTGGAATTAAACATTTGATAAAATTGGATATTGAAAGGAAATATCAGCTTAAAGGGAATGAAAACAACTCATTTTAGAACTAAATAAATACTCATATTAATTTACTTTTATAATATAACTCACTAGTTTTTAAATTATAAAAGAAAATCTTTCAGTTTAATGGAACTGAGAAATTTGCCCAAATAATTGTTGTAAAATCTCAAAAACTAACAGAGCAACATTTCACATGAAGTTTATAATTTCCAATCGATAAAAATTATTTCCCCTATACAGATAACAATGCAATACTCCAGAATAATGAGACAAATTTTTATTTCCCTGTTTTCAGTGCCAAATTCTCTTCACGTCCGATGAAAATTTTCGTTTCGTGGCATAAAATAATCCCGAATATCCCGAGGAGAAGATAAAAATCCAATTTCAGTGACGAGAAAAGAAGGAAAAAGATAAAAGAGGAGAACGAAAAACCATTTTGAAAAGCAAAAAAAAAGTAATAAGAAGTGAGATTAAAGTTCAAGTGAAGGTGCCATTGCGGGCACAATAGCACCACTGGTGCCCTCGGCCGTGGGTCCCGAGGGGGTGGACGCCATGGCGGCCTCGTCGTCCTCGTCGACTAGCGAACAGCAGTACTCACTAAGATGGAACGATTTTCACTCGAGTATACTGAGTTCATTTCGTCATTTGAGGGACGAGGAGGATTTTGTGGATGTTACACTGGCGTGTGACAGCAGTAGTTTCACAGCTCACAAAGTCGTACTCTCAGCCTGCAGTCCGTATTTCCGGAGATTACTCAAGGTATTTCAAAGAATTATTTTCATCACATAAGCGGGGGGGGGAGAGAGAGAGAGAGAGAGAGAGAGAGAGAGAGAGAGAGAGAGAGAGAG